GTGGGGCGTCATCTATTCATTGCACTGGGTAGACATTTTGAAAGGGGAGTCTTGGTATGTCATATATGAATTGAATGAGCTAAGTCTTCTAAAAGAATGTACTACTTAAGGTAGGTGGTGGAATGGGACGCGATCTACTCCTTTCACTAAGTAGGCATTCCGAAAGGGAAATCTTGGTGTGTTATTAGTGTTCTTCTAATGTCTTGTAATTGAGTGGGGACTCGTTCTACAGAGGCGAGTAAGACTAGACGGGGTAGTCGTGGGGATCACCTAGGTGTGTATTGAAGGAGATGTATGGGCATTTCCTTCATGTCTTACATTGGTGAGTCTTAGGTTAACCTTAGCTAGGGAAACTCCTAAAGAAATGAGTTTACTTCCTCTTGGCTTGACTTTGGGAGTTCAGTATTTTTGGGTAAAATGATTCACTGTAATATTGAAAAGGGTTCACTGTAACTTTTGGTAGTTCACTGTAAAATGGTCCTTTTTGGTTAAAATTAGGAAAATCTTTCTCTAAGTATTAAATGATGATTCTTATGTTATTTTACTTCTATATTCATGAATGTTTTGCTTAATTGGCATGAAAATGTGTTTTTACTAAAATGTCCCTTTTTGCATTGACATACTTAGTACATTATTTTGTTCTAACCTTATACTTTTCTATACTCTATAAGTATAGGTTCGGAAGAAAGGTTGAAGTTAGAAAGCAAGCTTGGGAAAGCCTCTCTCAAGACTAAGTATGTCCTCATATATTCGAGGGCATAGTTCTATTTCCTTAGTTTCTTTATTTAAAGACTTATTATGCATTTCTTTCAATGTAAAGGGCTGTGTCCCTAAGATATTATGTCGTGTCTTTACGTTTGGCTTGTGACGATGAGACTCCTGTAGTATTTTATGAAAATGTTTCCTTTATTAAATTATTTGTGAAAAGTTTTAATTTCGCATTACTTTTCATGTCTTATGTAATGAACAATAGATAAAAGGCTTGTACAAGACCCCAAAAGGTCAAGTACGCCTTATGACGATCGAAGGGTTCTCCCTAACTTCTAGGGGTACTTGCGGGTCGTGACAACAAAGGGACATCTTAATTCACCATTTGTCATTTTTATGTTTCTTTCAATATATTTTGTGTTTCTATTTTTTATAATGTTTTTTCTTCTCTAAGATTTATTAATGTTGATTTAATTAGTTTGTGTTTTTTACGATAAAGGGCAAAATATACTCCTTTACTATATAGGAAATAGTTTAAATATACTCTTGGTTACACTTTCGGGTTGAATATACCCCTCTCGTAATATTTTTGGGCTAAATATACCCCTCCCGTTATACTTTGGGCTAAATATATCTTTATGACTAATAGAGAAAACGTGGAAAATGGAGATTCATTGAACTATTCAATTTAAAATAAATCAAATTAAGATATAACCTACCAGCCCTGCCCCAATAACTGAACCCGACCTAATATATAACACTGACTCATTTGATTTGTCTTTCAAACAAGAATACCCAATGGACGATTGAGTTCTAGCTCTCCAGCAAGCAACAACCAAAGAAGTCTGCAAACTTGGAATCGTTCCTTCGCAAAGGTTACGTAGATAAGCAAACATACACTAGCAAATTAGCTTAACATACCTATTGTTTAAATTAATTATGGCTCACAACTTAATTTTGCTGTAATTACGATTTACGTTTTCTCTCTCATGTTTTATACACATACAAATACAAATTATATATATAAATATATACATATACAATTTCGAACGATCTGAAATAATTAATTTTATAAAATTCAAAATATCTTTTAAGTTAATTTTAAAGTAATTTTGTCATATTTTTATAAAAACAAAATTTAAGTCATATATAGGTTTTATATAATTTTGCGTATAATTAGTATATTTTATAAACATTTTGAAAATTTTAGTTTAGTTTAAATTAAGGTTATATTTTTGAATCACTAGTTTACAATGAAGTTAATTATTTTATTTCATTCAGATTAAAAAGATCATTAATTAATTAATATTAAATTATCTTATTTGAAGGTTTAGAGAATTTGTTAATTTAACCCAATTTGACTATTTCTTAAATTTAATTCATCTTTGATCTCACCTTCAACCCTTCAAAAAACCAATTTTGGGCACATTTGTACAAGCCAAACCCATCAGCCCAATTTTTCCTCTATTCCAAACCCACTCCCAATTCAAAACCCATTCCACCAACATACATGCGACGCCCAAATCAAAACTGACCCACTGATACTATTTTTTTTAGGGAAAATAACTTGTGTGTCTACTTTTTAAAAAATAATTACCATATTTGTCAATATTATTTTTTTAATCATAAATGTCAATTTAATTGAATATTCAACTTCATATTTTTTCTCTCGCCTCAAAATTTTTCCACGCCCGCAATTGCAATTTTTTCTTCTCTCTCGTGACTGTAATTTTTTCTTCTCTCTCGCGACTGCAATTTTTTCTCTCTCTCGTGATTGCAATTTTTTTCCGGCGACTTAAATTTTCTCTCGCCATTGCAATTTAAAGGTTAGTGTTGAGTAAGATCTGTTAGTTTAGGTTACTTGCACTGCATTCTGCGATTTTTGTTGGCCTCCTTTGCACTTAACTGATCCTTTAATGTGAGCTTGCAATTGTGGTCTTGACAGTGCCCAGATCGTTACGCCTTTCTTCTTTTTGTGTGGATTTATGTTGAGATTTCGTTTGATTTATGTTTACGTTACTTGTGTGCCTTTTTGTTTGATGATTTATGTTGAGATTTTGTTTGATTCAAGTTTCTGTGAGTGTCTGGTATTCAGTTCTCTTCTCTAATAAGTATGATCTCTTGTTAGCATCTGTATATTCATGTTTAATTCACTTTTTAGCATTTGTGTAATACAACTTCAATTCAGTTTTATTTTACTTGTTAGCATCTGTGTAATACAACTTTAATTCAGGTTTAATTCACTTTTTAGCATTTGTGTAATACTTCAATTCAGTTTTAATTCACTTGTTAGCATCTGTGTAATACAATTTTAATTCACTTGTTAACATCTGTGTAATACAGCTTTAATTCATGTTTAATTCACTAGTTAGCATCCGTGTAACTCAACTTTAATTTCGGTTTAATTCACTTGTTAACATCTGTGTAATACAACTTTAATTCAAGTTTAATTCACTTGTTAGCATCTGTATAATACAACTTCAATTCAGTTTTAGTTCACTTGTTAGCATCTGTGTAATACAACTTTAATTCAGGTTTAATTCACTTGTTAGCATATGTGCAATTCAACTTCAATTCAGTTTTAGTTCACTTGTTAGCATCTGTCTAATATAATTTTAATTCAAGTTTAATTCACTTGTTAGCATTTGTAATACAGCTTTAATTCATGTTTAATTCACTTGTTAGCATTTGTGTAATACAACTTCAATTCAATTTTAGTTCACTTGTTTGCATTCGTGTAATACAACTTTAATTCAGGTTTAGTTCACTTGTTAGCATCTGCGTAATACAACTTCAATTCAGTTTTAGTTCACTTGTTAGCATTGTGTAATACAATTTTAGTTCATGTTTAATTCACTTGTTAGCATTTGTGTAATACACATTTAATTCATGTTTAATTCACTTGTTAGCATTTGTATAATACAACTTCAATTCAGTTTTAGTTCACTTGTTAGCATCCGTGTAATACAACTTTAATTCTGATTTAATTCACTTGTTAACATCTGTGTAATACAACTTTAATTCAAGTTTAATTCACTTGTTAGCATATGTGTAATTCAACTTCAATTCAGTTTTAATTCACTTGTTAGCATCTGTGTAATACAACCTTAATTCAGGTTTAATTCACTTGTTAGCATATGTGTAATTCAACTTCAATTCAGTTTTAATTCACTTGTTAGCATCTGTGTAATAAAACTTCTTTTCATGTTTGATTCACTTGTTAGCATTTGTGTGATAAATTTTTAATTTAGATTTTATTAAGATTTAATTCAGTTGTTAGCAAAGTGATGCTCTTCTAGCAGATTAATCTATATGTCTCTCTCTAGTCTTTTAATAATAGTAATACACTCTTTAATGATGTGCAGAAAAAATATGACTAATATAGCGGTGATGCTTTACTTCAATGGACGATGGGATCCTAGCAACAAATATATTAACTACTTGGCAGATGGTGTGTTGATACACACAGAGTCAACGTTTGCCACCCTCGTTTCTGTAATTGCTACTCAATTGTCAATAGACACATCAACAAGTAAAGTTGAAATCAGATATAAAATTGATGAAAGGTCTCCTCCAATTCAAATTCATAATGATATGGGGGTAAAGGTATATCTTGAAACTAAAAAGGAACATCGAGATATGACAAGATACCCTTTATGTGTTACAACAACTGAACCAGTCAACTTGGAGACTAATGCTGCACTCATTCCACTTTTGTGTTCAGACACTTCAGGAGATATGAGGTTTATACACAATTGATACTTCTCTAATACATTTAATGGTATTGATGAAGCAATAGGGTTAATTGGATTCAGATCATGTGAGGAAGTTGATGAGCTAGAAGAATTAGCACCAGGCATCATTATTAATCCCAATCACTCTTTATTTGAAAAAGATCAGGTGTATAAGAATAAATATGTCCTCACTAGTGCACTAAAAAGACATTCCATTCTTAATCATTTTCAATTCAAGACAACAAGATCAAGCGCAATAAGGTAAGACCTAAATTCAAGTCACTTTAAATTATTAATTGTGTATTAATATTTTTTCTACAGCTATTCGATACAGTGCCTAGGAGAAAGCTGCAGTTGGAGTTTACGAGCTTCAAGCTTGAACAAATCTGAAATGTTCAAGATTAGAGAATTTGAAAGCGAACACACTTGTTTGTTGCTACATAATTCATTATCGGAAAGGCTAGCAATTAAGAGTATTGTTGGGAGTATTATTGTGGGTAAATATGTTGAACCAGATGCTAATTACACACCAAAAGACATACAACATGACATGTTAGCTGAATATGGTGTGCGACTCACATATATGCAAGCTTGGAGAGCTAAAGAAGCAGCTCTTGAATTAATCCGGGGTGATCCAATTCAATCATATGCAAAGTTGCCAAGCTACTTTCACATACTAGAGGCGACTTACCCTGGTTCTCATATAAGATTTCACAAATCAGAGGATGACCGTTTTTTATATGCGTTTGTAGCTTTGTTCACCTCGATAAAAGGATGGGAATATTGTAGACCAATTGTAGTTGTTGATGGAACTTTCTTAAAAGGAGCATACAAAGGGACACTGTTAACCGCTAATACCTTAGATGCAGCAGGTCAGACTTTCGAATATGATACTGTTTTTTATATTGAATTTTTGAACTATGTATTAAAATTGAATTATGATTGCAGTAAAAATGTATTAAACTTGTATTAAAAAAAGTGTACATGGTGCAGGGAGTATATTGCCACTTGCTTATGCTATTGTCGATTCAGAGAATGATTCATCTTGGGGGTGGTTTTTTGAGCAATTCAGAGATGCATTTGGTCAAAGACCAGAGATGTGTATCGTTTCCGATAGGCATGCAAGCATTATTAAGGCAGTTTCAACAGTTTATGATGAAGTACCTCATTTTGCATGTATGTGGCACTTACTGCAAAACATAATGAAAAATTTCAGAAGAAGTCAACAAAGGGTCACTGAGTTGTTCTACTCTATGGCAAAAACATACACCATGACAGAATTTAATCAATGTATGACAATGGTTGAGAAGATAGATAAGAGGATCAAAGATTACTTGTTGAACATTGGATACAACAAATGGTCGCGTGTGCATGCTGAAGTAAACAGAACTTGGATGATGACATCAAATATAGCAGAATCAGTCAATTCACGAACAAGACATGCCAAAGTTCTTACAGTCTTGCAACTCTTGGAATTCATGAGACAACTTGTACAGAAATGGAATAACAATAACAGATCAAAAGCGACATTTTTAGGTTGTCACCTTGGAAAAAAGTATGAAAATATATTGCGGCGCAATAAAACTGCATCAAAGAAATTAAAGGTATGCCTAATCTGTTTGCTAGTATTTTTTCTTCGGATTCATATCTAACATCTCTCTTGAATATATTTTTTTTTCATAGGTTGTAGAGACAAATAAATATGTGTATACCGTACTTGATGGTATTACACAATTCACAGTATGTCTTCACCAACGTACATGCACATGTGGGAGATTTCAATTGGATGAGTTACCATGTCCACATGCTTTGGCCGTTTTAACAATAAAACACACTGGTTATGAGAAATATTGTTCGGCTTACTATACAAGAAAAAATTTATTGTTGACATATCAATTTCAAATGGATCCCCTGCCAAATGAAAGTACATGGAACACACCAACACATGTTCTTGAAGATATTGTACTTCCACCTCATGGAAAGAGACCTCCGGAAAGGCCAAAAAATAAAAGACATACTCAACTGAGAGAAGATGGATTCAAGAAGGCGAAAATTACATGCAGCAATTGTGGACAACATGATCACAACAGGAAGACTTGCAAAAATGTCAGGCCTTATGATCAAGAATAAAAAAAATAATTTGTTTAGTAGTTTGTTTTAGAAGCTCATTGACTCTACGAATTTGGATCATGTTCGGTTATATGGTTTATATTTTTAGTTCCGCAATCTTGTGTTATTCAGTTTAATAGAATGCTTTCTTAGTTGTGCAATCTCATGTTATTCAGTTTACTGGAATGTTTCTATGTGTATAGTTACATTTTATATGATATATTGATGAAATGATATAGTTTACTGGAATAACTCAGTTGAGCATGAGGCTTGGAAATGTCTTGCAGAGTATATTTGTCAGGTTGGGGAATTTGGGTGATGCTTGGTATGTTTTTGGTTTGTTAGTATTTTTGTAATATAGCTTTAATTCAAAGTTTAATTCACTTGTTAGTATTTGTGTAATACAACTTTAGCTTAGGTTTAATTCAGGTTTAATTCAATTGTTACATAGATTTAATTCAAGTTTAATTCAGGTTTAATTCAATTGTTACCATTTGTGTAATATAGATTTAATTTAAGTTTAATTCAGGTTTAATTCACTTGTGGAAATTTTAAGATTAATGTCTTGTTCTAATTCTATAAAGAAAAATAGGATTTCAAAAAAATAAATAGTATCGATTCGTAACACAGAAGTTCATATATTTGCAACCAAAAAAAAATACATGATTTTTTTTATAGTTTTCACAACTTATTGAGGTTTCATGTTTACCTCGAAAATTACAAATTTTTACTACTCAAATTACATATTCAAATAAAACTATAACTTTAAATCAACCTAATTACAATTTTTTACTACCATTTCCTGCTAGTTTTACATGAGCATTCATAGTGTCATTCAAACAGAAGTATGAGGAGCATTGACTTCTTTAATCTCAATCATGCATACTTCCAGCAAGCTGGATAGATATGGGCAGCAGCTTGTTGCTCCCAAACAAACTAACATATGTAGCATTCCAACTGCAAAGACAAAATTCCTTAGAGGAAGTACAAACAGAAAGGATCAATAAGGACACAAAGAAGGAACAACTTCAAATAGAAGACTTACATATAAACAACACAGTTAGGTATATAATATCAAGACTTACAAAATAGACCAATACAATTTTTCATAGCCATAGTAACTACAAATTGTTTTACATTATATAGTTTTCATAGTCATACTAACTAATATAACTATATTCCTTTATCTAACTGGTCTTTCGTCTTCACTTTGAAGGTCACTCGCTTGCTTCCTTCTTGCATATTCCCATAATATAGCTCCAAATCTCTTTCGGACAATGTCTGCCTTTACTTGTTGATTTTGAATATGTTGGCCATTACTTATAAACTCCGCAAATGCAGCAACGAAAACTCCACAATCCCTACAAAATTCAATATAAAATTATTATCAAAAAATCAATTTAATAATTAAAAAAAAAACACATATTTGATAATACTTACAGTGAATCCTCATTTTGTCTGGGAACATCTTTAGTTATGAAATGAAACTCAATTTTCTCGAACTCATTTATCTCACTGTATTTTGGTGTTGACTTCAATTCAGGACGCTTATCATAGAACTTAACCACACTTAGATAATATGGTAAAACAACCGAAAGCATCTCAACAATATTTTTTACCTCTAAATTCACCCCACCCCTAGCCGGAAATGAATCATACACCTCCAATGACCTTTGCCCAATATCAAACACCACAAAAATCCAATGACGATTCTCTTTAATGTTTAGTGGAATAAGAACAAAATCCACTTTATCCCACGAGGTACTTGCCAACAAACGACGTCCACTGATATACCGGGCAATATCATCAGAATCTTAAACTTTAAAATTTTTCTTATCCTCATGAGCATCACAAAGTTTAAAGAAAGAATTGGTAATCTTTGTCTTGAAAACACAATCAGTCGTCGTAAAACGAACATTACTGTTGGTTTCATATTTTCCTTTCTTTCTTAGGTAATAGAAAATGACATCAATATGCTGCAAAAAAAAAAACTTATGAAACAGAATAGTGACAGAACAGTGCAGAAATTTCAACTCAAAGTTAAGGGAAAACTCTGTTTTCGCCCCAAGTGTGGCTCATTTATCACATATTGGTGAAACACAACAGTGATAGAACTTATGAAGATGTTCAATTTCTACCAGAAAAAAACTTAGAGACAACAGTAACTTACTGAAGCTGACATATTTTATATAATATTCTAGCTCATGTATATGCATATATGTGGATTCTTAATGATATAATGAACCTCAAAAGAAAAGAATTGAAGTTAAAATGACAAGAACATGATTACAAGTTTCATTCTTTTCGCAATATCCTGAGCTTTTGTCCCTCTTGAAAGACAGAGACAAAGGGAACAAGAACAGAAAGAAAAATGACTTGCAAGCTATAGAATTACAATGTCACACAACTAAAGAGCTTCAATAGATGAAAAATACAATCTATCTACACAACTAAACAGAAAGAATTTTAGTTGAGACAAAGGCAAACTCAAGATTAAGAAACAAAACAAATCAAAGAAATATTAACGTCCAACTAAAATTTATATAACAAACCTCATCACACCATTGTTTTCAAGAATGTGCCAATTTGAAAAACCAGAGTCTTTCATCTACCGTATAGACACCCAATTCAAATGCTGGATTGATAACATTAAGAGCATCTGTATAAGGTTTCTTTCCCCTATCAAAACAGAACAAAAATAAAAAAAATACTCAAAACCGAGACAGGAACAACTAAAAAAGAGGCAAATACGAAACTAAAAAAGAGGTACAGAGCGTTCCACAAGTTGAATTAAGCTTGTATATATTATGAATTAGGAAAATTATCCCAAAAACATCAAAATAAATTACCTCTTTTTTGTACCCATATAAAGCCACTTAGTGAATGAATCGATCAAATCAGATTCATCATCTCCTCCGCTTGCATATAAAAAAGGATGTTTTGTCTCAAAAACCTGACGTGTAACACATAAAGTTCCTCCAGATTTAAAATGTTGTGTGAAGGGAGATGTTATTAACTTTCCTGGATTTTTCTTTCTGCCACGTTTCTTCGGTGACACTTTCCTTTTGTTTTGATCAACTTGGGCTCTTTTTTTTAGATAAGATTCTTCAGTCCTATTGATCTGAGAAAGTTCTTTATCAAGTAAAATAAAGTCATCTAAAGTATGTTGAGGTTTTTGATAATCCTCTGTTGCATCTGCATATAATAGATATATTGATTAATTTACAATCAACAGATGCAACACTTATTTATGTTGGTTTTTTTTACTAAATTACCATCAGGTTTCGCCCCAACTTGTATTCACATCAGCAGCCTCTTGGACTGTAAGCAAAATAAATATTTTAATAATGTTATCAAAATAAATCGAAAGAAGTTTAGTTGAAGTTAAGAAAATGAATACCATTTATATCAGCAACAACCTCTGACAGAACTTTTTCAATAGCAATTCCTGCAACATCTTCATCTATACATAACAAGAACATTTAAAAAAACAGAATTGAATTAAAATATATGAAATATGTAATATATTTGTATAAAATCCTTCATTACCCATTTTACTTGATACTCTTTCAAGATTTTCAACATCAGCAAATCTAAATGTAGCTTTAAGCACTTGAGATTCTTCATTTTGATTTGATCCCATAACATGAGCATCGTTCCCTCTCGATTCATTTACAGATGCATTAACACGGGGAGAAAATGCTGTATATGTAATTAACATATTATAAAAAAACATATCAAAGTTAACTGAAAAATGAAATATCGAATTCGTGTCATTTATAGATTAACTGGAAGAAAATACTAAACTATATATTAAAATTATATTATGAATATAACAGAAATTTACTGAAAATATAAACGAACCTCCATTAAAATCTAATCCACCTGAAAATGTCTCGCCAGCATGCTTCTTAGATGGTTCCTTAACTTCTCGAATAACAGAGTTGCTACCACCACTCTTAGCAAACAGCAAAGAAATATCCTCCAATAATTGTTTGTTTGAGTTCACCACAAATTCTTTGATTTGATTGAATCCTAAATCAATCTTCTCTTCAAGCGCTTTGTTATTTTCATTCACCTAATAGATATTAAATCATAACGAAAATATTAAAAAAATAACAGTTTTAAAATAAAAAGCCTAAAGTTTAGTTTGTGTATACTTTTACAAGCTCTTTTCTCAATTCTATGACTTCATTGGTCAAAATGTCTAGACCATGATTTGATTCTTTAGGCTCCAATTTCAAAATTTCAGCATGGTAATCACGAGTTTCAGGAAGCCTGAATTTGGATACTTCATCTTCACTGGCCACTATGTTCTCAAACTGAAAAACCAAATACACAAAATAACATTAGATATAGTAACTTGAGTTCAAATAAACAATGTAATAAAATGTATTAACTTTGTACAAATACCTTGTTTTTTGTAGGCATGAAGAGACATTTCTCAATATATTTAACCATGGACTTTCTGCAATTGTCTTCCAATTCAAGATTCTTGGAATAGAATCAGCAACACGAATAGCTATATCTTCATCGACCTTTGAACAACACTCAAATATCCAAATTTGAAGAGCAAGAGGCAAACCACCAATTCTATAGTACTTATGTGTTGACTTAAGCTCATGCCTCACAGAATCAGACAACTTTTTGTAGACATCTAAACCCCACGGATATGAATTGAATTTTTCACTTTCCACAAGGTAAAAATCTCTATTGCTAATTTGGTATTCGTTGTCCTCATATGAAAATAAAAAATCATTAATGAAGTATAGAACAACCAATGAAATAGCCGAGTCATCATCTATGAATTTTTTAGCTAAAAACAGTGCACGTAGATGACTCTTTGGAACTGTGATTTTTTCCGGAAAATAACTACTCATCAAACTACATCTAGAATTGGGAACATTGATAGATGTGCCATCACCAACACAATTTAAGCCTGTAACTATCCCAAATTCTCTAAGACCAAAAAATAACTTTTTGTTATTTATTTCAATAGCAAACACATCATCCGGTGTGTGTTTTAACTCTCTATTTATAAGACAATGAATAAGTTGTAGTTGTGTGCTTGATTTTGGAAGGTCAAGAAAGTACCCAAAACATGTATTCCTAAACATCTCAAGTTGTTTATCAGATAAAGATAGTTTGATTTGTTCAATGACACTATGATTAGTGTAACATGACCACCTACTCGAAATATACACAACATCAGGATGTTTCCAGAATTTACGATCCTGCATATGCATTAAACATGAATTAAAAATGTGTTACTACATACTAAAGATGAATAAAAAATGAATTAAAGTTGAAATAAAGTTGAATTAAAGTTGAATTAAAGTTCAACTAAAGTTGAATTAAAAATGAATTAAAGTTGAATGAAAGTTGAATTAAAGATAATTTCACATACTACATCTAAAAAACAAGCAGCAATCAACATACAACCCATTGCTAAACAACAAATAACTAAGAAGTACTAGCACATACCGGATATCTACTCTCTGGTAGAATGACACTTTTGGGTAAACGATTTCGTGTTTTTCCATCATTCACCGGCCTTTTCTTCTCCAATCCATCTTTATTTTTCAAACTTTTTGACTGAAATTGAGGAGGTAAATCCTCAAAATCATCATCACTGTCAACGATTTTCTTCGATGTAGATGCCAAAGTAACACATATTTTTTTTGATCTCTTCATTGTTTTAACCTCTTTAACTCGTTTTTTACCTTTCTTTTGCTTCTTGTTTTCTTCCTCATTGTTCTTCTCTCCCGAAATTTGTGATATACCCAAACTAAAACTTGGAATTTCATCCATAGAATTAGAAGACGAAACTTGAAGCTTCTTTCGATTTCTTCGATAAACTTTTGGATTCGAAGCCGTCACTAGACGCGGACTTTTTCTAAGACCTTCTTCCATTAAGATTCGTACAGAAAAATGGAGAAAAAAAACAAACAGAAACCCTAATTTTTGACGAGGAGAAGGAGAAAGAAAAAAAAAGAGCGAGAAAGGATATGAACGATAATATGTTTTACTTTGTTTAAAATTTGTATAAAAAAGGAATAAATGGATTTTAAATTGTTTTAAGTTAATATAGCTAAAAGTTGACAAAAATGGTAATAAATAAAAAGTGTACTTAAAATTGGTAATTATAAAATAAAACGTCTTTGTTTATGTAATTTAATTTTTTTTTTATCGAAGGGAAAAACGAAAACTCGATCTGACCAGACTCAGAGCCTACACGTTCTTCTTCTCCACCAACAGTTCAATGCGAAGAAACCTGGAAAATCGCGACCAAGACACGAAACCTATACGAGCCAGCCCAAAAGCAACCCGACATGCGTCTGTCTCCCTCTCTCCCTTATCCTCTACGTACCGGAATAGTCCAGGCGCTCGTTCTTTCTTTACCCAAAATCCGACGTATCTCCATTTCAATTGGTAGATGAATCCGTTGTCACCCTTATCTCATGGAGATTTCGAATTTCAAATTCAAATCTGTTTGTTGCCCTCCGTTGCATACAGCTTAAAATAGATTAATCTAGTTTTAGAGACCACAAATTTTCAGCTATATTGTTATATATTATAAGTATTTTAGATAATTTTTTGAAACCGTAGAGATTGGGAGTCCAGATTCCAACTTAGCGTTTGTTCTTGTTTGCACTGTTTTGCTCGTCGGAGTTCTCGGACTCATATTCCAAAGTTGGTGGTAAAGTCGCGGTTATTCTAAGCTTGTATATGTCCCGTTTGCTGCCCGAAAAAAAGGTAACATCTCATCTTTCATACCATTCTTTCCGTCTATTCTTGTATTTTGATGCGATGTTTCTTTCATAATATTCTCTTTATCTTCTTCTTTTTTGATATGCCTGATTACTGTGTTATCATGCCATTGTTATTTGTTGCTGAAATAGGTAGTTTAATGTGCTAGGCATCGTGTTCTTGAATGATTTGATCTTAAGATGGATTCAAGATTTTGTCATTTTTTTATCTAATGTTGTGATTTCTCTACTTCTTCTTTGAGTTGCTTGGTTATTTTCCTTCTCGTTTGTTTGCTTGGACATGTAGTTTCAAAAGATCTTTTGTTTTTTTTTCTCTACTGTTAGTGTTGTTGTCTTTTTTTTAAAAAAGATATATAAAACAAGTTTATATGGAGGTTGTATGTTATGCTATTTATGTTTGTAGGCCAGTATTCGGCTAAACTTGGGATTCAATTGTTTCGTGCTCATTTTCACCCTGGTTTCTTTCCATTTTCAATTGCTCCCTGCCTTATTCCTTGTTAGTTTTCTCCTCGATTTTTGGGCTTTTTTTTCTAAAGATGAGTATGTGGCCTTTAGTGTGAATGGGTTTCTTCTATTACGTGGAGTGCAACACCGTTTATTTCTTCTACTTTAGCTAAGATACTATCGATGTTTGTTTTGGTGTTTTAATTTGAATGAATAATCTTTTCAATACTCGTGGTTGTTCATCGCTTGAAACCAATTCGAGTTTACTTGGGACTCATTCCTTGCGTTTCTTTGAGTTGAAGTCCATTTTGTCAGTCTCATTTTTATACGAAGAAACGAAGCTGAAAATTTCTTGGGAAGTCCAAAAAGGAGTTGTATACAGTAGTGTACTGATATACATTGTAGTATACATTGATATACATTTCGGAATACAAAAATACAGGATTGAGGTAGAATGCAAGTTGTTGAAAGACAAGATGAGGCTGTATACATGGAAAATACATGAAAATATACAGAGTGGGCCAAAAAATTTGTCTTGTATACAGCAGTATACATAAAACATATATGCTGATTTTTGAAGGCAAATAGGCCCAAAGCCTTAAATAATTTTCAGCAGGTCCCAGTGGTGAAAAATAGGCACAATAAAAATAAGTACAAGTAGTCTTTGGATTTAAATAGGCTAAAAATCATTTTAGCAACTTTAAATTTGTAAAAATTAGGCAAATCACATAGTCACATAGTTTAAGGGATAAATTACTTTCTATCTCTACTCTTTCACTATTTACCAAAAATTCCTTTTTATATTAATCTGGATACTTAATATTGCAGAACGATACTTAAATTAGAGCGGATAAATATTTTAATATTTAATTTGTTGTTACCAGTTACAGCGTAAAAAATGAATTACATTTATGTCACATTTCATGCGGACGTTTAACAAATTTAGCGTTCAATCTGCATAAACTTCTAACTGATTTAGGGTATTAGTGAATTTCAAATTATGAAACCATCACATTGTTCTTCGAAAAAATCACGCAAAGCTTGTTTAAAAAATTCTGAAACACAATTTGTGAAGAATCAAAAAATAAATATTTCTATCTTGTTAAGACATTCTGAAACATGGGAAAGTGATGATATATATGTGCGATATAAAAGTGCTGGAATAGTGGTTGGGAAAAATATTTCGTTTATGAATCTTATTTCAGCAATTGCGGCTGGGTTGGGTATTGATGAATCAAAAAAAAAATATCGAGATTAGATATGTTATTGAAGTTGATTCCTCTCCATTGTGTATTCGGACTGATATGCGGTTGAAATTGTACATAGAAATTAAGAAACATGAGGTGACATTCGAAATGTATCCTCTATGCATTGATACATCAAATAAATGTGTTGAAGAGATACTAAATTTTGATACAACAACAAGTGCAATCGTGTGTGTTGAGGGTGGAAAAAATGACGCAAAGGCTCTAAGCATTGTTGAATAAAAAATTGGTGATACATATTACATACTAGAAACGAAGATAGTTTAACTTACCTCTAGTAGTGTAAAATTCTAACATACATTCTATCCCTACTCTTTTCTATTTTACAAAAATCCCTTAAAATTTCAGTCATTCGGATACATATATGTCATACTGATACATTATATATGATACATTATAAACTTGTTTGTTGCGCTTAATATGGAATATTAATGTAAAATTGATTTTCTTTCCCATTAATCATGCAAAACTGATTTTCTTTTCCCACAAATCACGCAAAATTAATTGATATCAGTCCATTCCAAATATGTAGAACCTTTACAACATTCAAAATATAATTTTTATCTTCTCCATGAATTCAAAATCTTGAATCTGGTCAAATCCGTCATTGTAGATAATTGAACAAACGATCTCGAATCGTCAATCCGAGATCGTCGAGTATAAGAAAACGTTGAGAAATATGGATCCAATATATCGCGAAATTGATTGGACAAATAATTTTTTTGGTGAATTTCAAATCCTCCATTGTGGATAAGCTAGATCAATTTCTTCCTCAATTTTTTCCTTCCCAGTTCTTAAGTTGTCTTTTATTTAAATTTTTTTTCTATCTAATCTTATTTGATATATATGACTCATTTTTTTAGTATATTACATTATATATTTGATTCTGATAACGAAAAGTTTCATGAAAATAGATCTAATCAATGAAAAGATCTATTAATCATGAAGAATTTGAGATGAAAAAAGTCAACAAAAAAGGATACATACTCGAATTTGAAGTCAACTATTAAAAAATATTGCTCAAAAAAGAAGAAAAAGTTGGATCTGTCGTAACAAAATCTTCACTATTAAAAGATGCAGATTTACAATGTAACTCATTTATTTTGATTCTTAAATTAGACTTTGTTAGTGTTATTACTAATGGGATACATTACTTCTATAATGCCTTTGTTTTATGCACTGTGTCATCTCCTAATCTTTCGACCTAATCCACCCACGATAAATGAGTTTCGATTTATTTGTGTTTTTTCAATTGTTCAAGCTTCAATTAGTTGTTGATTCAGATGCATGATACACTAAGAGAAAATTAGTGTTATCATATTGCAATGTATCATAATTAAATTTAATTTTTTGATACATAAAATTCTAAGATTGTTTATTCAGTGGTTACTACTAATGTACCTCATGATACATAAGTAATAAACGACGGACTTGTATTGTAATTTTGTATCTATGAATTATGATATAGTCATTTTTCTATATCTGAATGTGAATTGTATAAAAATGTCTAGTCTTAATAAATTGTTTATGAAAAAGTATACTGCATATGATACAAAATTATGAATATAACAACTCATTCAACAATATGAACTTTATACTTAATACATTCATAAGAACTATTCAAAAATTATTAAAATAAAATTAAAATCGAGTTGTAATCATCAAATTTATGTATATAATACATAATTTAGACTACGAAGTATCTTAACTGTTTGATAAATAGTTATAAAGAAATGTATTTTCATTTAAGATATTTAAGTTAGGTATTATGTTTAACTATTTTAAAATATGATACAATGTTCTACTTATTACAGTCCAATATATAATTTGGACTTTATATGGAATATTAATATACTCATATACCATTATGTTTGTAAAAATGGTACCACTTAATATGTTTCAGATACATTTTTTTATATAATGTATCATTTTAATTTGTAGTTGATAATAATGTATCTAATACAACAAGGTTGTGGAAAAAAGGTGTAATAAGCTTAGATAAAGTGTATTTATAAATGTATCACAATAAATAAGAATTAAGTTATCCATCAAAATACATGAATGAATCAACAACTAACTACAACTAAGTTATAAATTACATGAATGAATCAACAACTAACTACAACTAAGTTATAAATTAAATGAATAAACAAACAATCAAATTATCAAGTACATTGCATTGTTAGGTGTCAAATGTATCAACAACTAGCTACAATTACTGAAAAAAAGAATTTTGTATGTATGCGTGAATTAATCTGGTACTTAATTTTATGACATTTTTGTATCAGACTATATAAGACAATTCAAACTGTAAATAACAACTAAATATATTGAAAGTTAAAGTCAAAATAAACAAAAAATTTTTAGAGAAACACTCTAAAAATTGAGTAGAAAAAAATATTTCAAAACAGTAAAAAGGAACACTCTAAAATTAGAGTAAATGTATCTTAACAACCATAACACTCTAAAAAGGTGTCCAACAAGTTATAGATAATCTATAGTCAACATTAATCATATCCTCTTGAGATGGTGTTGTGAATTGACTCTTAAGCGTTTGTGGATCTTCATTTTCACTAACATATTCTGCCTTGATCTTTTCAGTATCAAACTTTCATAATTGGGTTGCATATCGTGTACGAAGGCAATCTGATCAGAAATCATTGGATGGATTAAAGAATATGCATTCCCTTCAAAATGCAGAAGATACATTATAAAAGTAAAGAAGATACATTATAATTCAAACAAAATCACACTAATATTTACATACCTCATCACTTGTTTATGCTTATCAGTTAGTCAATTTTTTCTATCTGATAATTACTAAAACTATATAATGTATCTTAAACATTGACTAGTACAAATTTTATCTGATACATTATTTAACATGATACTAATGCATTGTATACACGTTGAATAATACAAGTTTTGACTGGTACACCATTGAACGTTATTTTTGTATTAATGACATGACATCTTGTGACTGACAACCAACTAAGCATATTACAATATTTGATAATTTCATATAATCACAACAACTACTCAAATGATGAATAAAATAAAGATTTATTGTATCAATTAAATAAACTTAAATATTGATAAATTACTATATGAAACATGGATTTTATCATTAATGTACCTTTTTTATTAACTAACATAAACAAGTTTAAAAATTAATAAAAGAAGATGGAAAACCAACCTTCTGTAAAGAAGGTCAAGAAATTGCAGGAGCCAATTTTCGATCCCTCTTTCTGAATTTTTATCAACCTGCACTTTAGAAGATGAAGAACAATATTGATTCACTATTGCTAATGGATGATGAAAACGCTCGTGCTTTAGAATATCAAGAACAACAATGATTTACTATTGCCAGTTGCTTATGAAAATCTTAGATCTGATTTCAACCCATTTAGGATCGTTGAAAAATTGAAAAAATCAAAGAACAACAATGATTTACTATTGTCAATTGTTGATGAAAACCTTAGATCTGTTTTCAACCCATTTAGGATCGTCGAAAAATTTACGAAATCAAAGAACAGTAGAATAAAGATGAAAACTACATATTCAATGATTTGATATTGATTAGCTGGAGAGAAAAAAAATAACTTGAAATTCAAATTGAGATGAAGGGTGTAACTAATTAGATTGCGGGAGTGAAATAAGGAGAGGTTAAAGGAGTGAAATTAAGAGAAGAGAAACGTTGGTTTGTAAGGTTGAAGTAATGTATCTTGGCGATTTGGAGTAATGGGGAAAAGAAGAGTTTTTTGTAATATTTTTAAATGGTAGGGATGATAAAAAATATGGTAAATAAAGATGTGTATATAGGTAATTTTTTCAAAATTATATATCAGATACCAATATTTCTGTTGTGGAAGAGAAGCAAATGTACAAGGATAAGACAACTCTAAAGGCTGTAATGAAAAATTACAAAATAAAGAATGGCTTCAATTTTAAAATTAAAAGATGTGATAACAAAAGGTATGTTATACAATTATATGATAATTTTCCTAATAATATATATTTTGTTTGTAATATGTTTACCCTTATACACTAATATTATCTGTTACATGTAGTCATGTGTAAAATGTATCTTGTTCGTTTTGATGTTTCTTTGGTTATGAATGTATAAATTAATAAAGATATGAAAATGTTTAAGAGTAAATTTGTGATTACTTTACAGAATAAAGTATCATAATGTGAAAGTGTCAGTTCTATCTTGTAATTAAAATAATGTATCGTAATGTACTTTTATTTTAATTTATGTATTAGTACAGTCAACCTAATCAAATAAAAAATATAAGTTATGTAATTGCAGGTATGTATTAGTTTGTTATTCAGATGATTGTTGTTGGAAATTCAATGGCTCTATTAGAAAGAATTCAAACACATTCATAGTGAGATACTTTAATAGTGAACATACATGTCTATTGAGGAATAATGTATTAAGTAAGGTACAAGCTACTGTCAGATTCGTTGGTGGTGTGACAACTCTAAAGTTGGAGAATCATAAAAGGAAACATACTCCGAACGATATAATAGAGGATATTAGGGATATGTATGGCGTTGAGATTTCTTATCAGCAAGCATGGCGGGCTAATGAGCGTGCATTGAAAAAGGGGTAAACCTACTGATGGATATAGAAATATGTCAAGATACATATATATGTTGGAAATTGTGTATCCAAATGCATATATAAAGATGCACAAGTCTGAATACAATGAATTTATATATCTTTTCATATCATTAAGACCAATGATGAGAGAATTTGAGTTCTGTAGGACAATTATTATTGTTGATGCTTCACATCTTAGTGGAGCTTATCGAGGGACATTTGTATATGCTAGTACACTCGACGGAGTATGTATGACATGCTGTTTATGAATTTATTTATTTATTAACTTAAAAGTAAGACGTTATTCTTTATTGTTTTGTGTTTCTATGTTAAGGTTGCATATTGCCTTTGGCGTACGGAATTGTTGACACGGAAAATGATTGTTCATGGACATATTTTTTTCAACAGTTTAAGAATGTATTTGGTGAGAAGGAAATATGTGTGTTGTATCTGACAGAAATGAAAGCATAAAGAAAGGTGTAAGTATTGTTTATCCAACTGTTCTTCATTATGGCACCTCTGTTCAAAATTTAGGAGAAGTAGGACCATTCTAAGTGATATGTTTTATTCAATGGCAAAGACTTATAGAAAAGAGGATTTTGAAAAATTGATGGCTAAATTGGATAAAATAGATGAAAGTGTAAAAAAGTATCTTCAAGATGTTGGGTATGAAAGGTGGTCTAGGTTTCATGCAACAGTGAACCGGGGAAGAATGATGACTTCAAATATAGCTGAATGTATCAATGGTTGTGTTGTTGATGCACAACAATTACCTATTATAGAATTTTTAAAAGGAGTTAGAATTCTATTTTATTCTTGGAATTGCAAAAATAGAGAAATAGCTTCCTATACAAAGGAAACATTGGGGAGAAGATTTGAAGAAATATCGATTTTAAACGCGTCAAAAAGTGTGAATATGAAGGTACATATTTGTATTATCTTTATTATATTGTTGTTTAACAAAAATTAAAAAAACGTGTTAATTATCTCTAATTTATAAAAATTGTATGAAGGTGTGATAAGATACATTGTTTGTCTTGGGAGTAAAACTTGTTTATGTGGTAGATTTAAACATGACGAGATACCTTATCCACATGCAATAGCCGTTTTGAAGAGGAAAAATATAACAGATTTACACCCCTAGTGCTCTGATTATTATAAACATGATGCATTAACAAATACTTATGCAGTACCAATGGAACAAATGACCAACAAAAGTGATTGGACAGCTCCGGACTGTGTTTTGGAAGAACTCGTCATGCCACCTAGATACAGAAATGTCTGGTAGACCAAGAAAAAAGAGAAAGAAAAATCCAAATGAAAAGGTAATAACAAAAACTAATTATTGTGGACGTTGTGGACAAGAAGGTCACAACAAAAGAACATGTACCTTCTTTTCAAAAGATTCTTGATGATTCTTTTTTTTTGTTTTATGCTTAATGTGTAATAATATTTCTGGATATTTTTAATTTTCTAATAAGATTTGAACTTTTTCATTTGATATGATTATAACATCACATGAATGTTACAAGATACAAAATTTATAGTTATACTAAATATATCGATTTTGATTGTATTATATCAAGTATAATGATATTGATAACTTGTTTAGTTTCACTTACATAAAACACTAAATATATTATGTATCTGATAACAAATATTTTGTTGTCAGATACAGAATGATATTCGATACTAAATATATTAAATAAGTTATTTTATATCAATTGTTAAAATACACAAATTCAATTTTGATAATAAAATGTGTATCATATACTTAATAATTCTATGGATATTGTGTATATGATGATAATATAGTATCAGACGTTGTGATTTACTGAAAGACTACGACATGTTTAGTAAATTTTTTTGTATCAGTTTGTATAACAATTGTGTAAATATAGTATCAGGTATAGTGTGTACAAAGTTTATAGTGTATCAGCAGTAATTGTGTAGATCTTACTTTTACAAAAATAATTTATAGCGAGTTACTGTTAATTAAATTATATATTTGGAGACAAAAATTAAAATTTAAATAAATTGTTTAACAAAAATAATTCTTCAAATTAATAACTACTTAGTAAGATTGTGCTGGAAGGAGAAGTTATAATACAAAATACTAACTAACGTAACTACAACATAATAGAAACCTAACTATTCTATGTAAACCAATCCACCTTCTGCCTGTGTAATGTAGCCACACTTTTGCCTTGTAGGATCATCGGTATCGCTAACATATCTAGCCTTGACTTTGTCCATACCATACTTCCATAAAAGTGTATTATATTTGTTCTGAAGATAGTCACTCTGAAAACTAACAAATGGAATTTTGATTTCGTCACTCAGGTATTATGCATAAGCATACATACATTCCACAATCACTGCAAAAACTGAAGATACATTAAAAAAAGTGAATGTAAGTAAATAAATTGATTTATAATACTAACAAGCCATCACTTTGTTGTTGCATAATGTCTTGAGCATATTCCACCGCAAAGGACTATTGTGGACCCCACAGTACACCAGTTTCCTTGTCTTTGTACGCCTCTAATGATAACCAATTAATTCTCTCCGTCTTATCAAAGAAACCACTATCATGTAAGTAGTTTGGAAGCATTACAGACAACTGAGTTATCTCTTCGGGATGCACTCTTTTCCTTGATCCCATAGATGAGTCATATACTCGTATTAACCTTTTCTTTAGAACAACCACATTCAACACCCAATGAAAATCTTTGCCACAATTAACAGGAATATAAACCTCATCAACTAGATGCCATGGTAAAGCAGCAGGTATCGAAAATCCATCTATGATGTCTTTTATAGACCTTTTATAACCAGATATAGCAAGACCACTGCAATATGTTGTTGTGTGACCACAATAATACCTCTTGTATACAATGTTGATATATGACTTAAACAAGCAATTGACCGTAGTGTATCTGTATTGATCCAAGCCTCTTGATTTTGACTTCTTGCGTAGATAGTAAAATATTACATCTATGTGATGTTAAAAAGATAAAAAAACAACATAATATATAATTTTCACACTTTGAAATAAAGCCACTAGATTGAAGAAAAGTAAGAATCAATTTGTAAGTTTATGTTTATATTATATGACAGATTTTAAAATCGTATCATATACATAATTTGAATGCATAATCTACCTGATCAGTGCAACATCTCATTGGACGTGACATGGTATAAAACCAATTCTTGTCAACAGGAAATGCGACAACAAAATCCATATAGTCAAAACCAAACTTAGCATATTTGCCTCTATATTTATCCTCATCAGGTTTTCTATAAGAATTATTAAAGTCAAAATGAAAGTATTTTAATAAAAAACTTATTTTATAAAGATACTTTAATAATAAAAATTTACTTATTCGCATTTGTTTTGAGGAGTCCCTTTTGAATCCACTCTAAGAACTTTTGCATTAAACCTGACGATAGTTGAGATGTGATGCGATAATCATCAAATGGAGTGTATGTACGTATATGATAATCTATTTTGTCCTTTCCCTTATCAGTTGATCCAAAAGAATTCAAATAGGGAGACTGCAAAACCTTAGAAGGCATCTTGTTACGTTGAGCCGGAGTTTTAGTATCAATATCATTGACAACCAGCTAGGTGGGTAGCTGACTGTCCAATAAAAAATCATCACTCCAGGTAAGCTGGAGCGGAATGACTGCACTTAACGGGTTGACATTAATTTTCTGGTTTGGAAGTACATGTGCAAGTGCATCTATCACTGCTTCGATTTTGGATGAGATGGAAATCGTGTGATGTCAAATAAATAACAAAAATATTACAATTTATATAAATAACTTATGCAACATCAAAACTTAATTTATTTGGAATTAAATGGAGGCAAATGCTGTCAAAATGCAGTAAATAATTTATAATCCTACCAATGTCTCAAAAACTACTGAATTAGAGGGATATTTTTTGACTTCTTTTTGAATTTTATCGGCACCATGATCCTAATATAGAGAATTTCAGATGCTAAATAAATTTTTACTAAAATTAATAATGTATAACAAATTAAAAACTTAATACTTACTACCTTAATATCAGGAATATTCACATTCACCGAAGGATTGTTTTGTTGTGTTGTAGATAGAAGCACAGTGGACATTTCCATTGCATGTTCCTTACTGAATGTATCATCCTTCATTATTTGTAGAAAAATTGAAGTATTTATTAGTATATTAATAGATACCGTGCAACCAGTGATACTTAAAATATCATAATCTATTTCATAAATTAAAGTATATAAAATAGTCAAGATTAGAAGTATCATATATAGTTTTAATGTAGAAAATGCAGTCAGTGAAACACAAAAAGCGAAAGTAAATTCATAGATTAAAGTATCAACCATCCAAAAAGATACATTATTAAATTTTTTAACATATATTTACGTACCTTTGTGATATCTTCAACAGAACCCTTTTGTTTCTCAACCTCCACAGCAGGTTCATCAACATCATCAACAGTTGCAAAATCCATTCGCATGGGTGAAATGGTTTGTTGATAAAAGTTAGCAGAATTGAATTGTGGACCAACGTTGTGTTTCTCCACAGAATCATCCATCACATGTGGTGATGAAACTCCTCCTATATTCTTTGTATTTTGAAAATAGTCAATATCACATAAAAATCATAAACATTTCAATATATCAAAATAGGATCTTCTTAGATTTGTTATCTCTCGCACCAACAACTTTCAACAATTCAGAATGATTTATCTCTATTAGGGCCTGAAGAGCTCCAAATTTTTTCTCAACCTATAATCAAATTAAACATATAAAAAATTAACAATGAACATATAAATGTTTGAATGAATTGTTTACTTATATAAGACTTCATGAACGTCTTCAAATCTTCAATTTCTGCACTACCCAAATTTGTTTTTCCAGTGAATGTAGTGGAAGAAACACCAACGCCAGTTACATTATCATTTTTTTGGATATGACTCTAGAGTTTGAAATGACTAATCTGGTTGCTTCTGTGGTTGTGAGAGTCTTGACAAATTGTACTTATGTGGATGTACAACCTTTACTCGCTTTCGAGGTGGTGGGGTAGTTCCTGTAATAGAATCTCGTGATAATCTCCTTAATAGATTCTTTGGAGGTTTTATTGAGAAGTCTTCAAAACCAGGAACCTCCTCCGGATGCACATACTCACCATCTGGAATTGTTGAATCTATTTGAGTTGGAAGTACATAATTGTGATCTGGTAAATCAAGTGATGCTATTTCCTTGGGAGTTGGATGAATGTTAGAACAGTCAATCTAAACAAATGAAAAATGAATTAATGAGAATAACCAAATCAATAATGTATCGCATACTCAAACAAATGAAGTAAAAATGTTGTATTATAGTAATTACCTCAGTAAAAGTGGTTTCCATAAATATCTCAAATTTGGATTTTAAACCTATAACTTGCCAGTTGCACATCCTCGATGTACCTTTTCCTTCTTTGACAACAATATCGTTATTATCATAGATGCATGTTGATAATTCCAGACATTAAGTGCGTATGGGAATCCATTCAAACGATACATTTTTTTGGTGGTTTGTACTTTTTTCTATAAGATTTCATTAACTTTTCAAAAGAAACTTGTTCCCAAGGGTGTTATTCATAACTACCATCTTCCACCATGAAGAAGTCTTCAATAGGAATTGGTGCTTCACCAAGTTGGGAATACACAAATGTATGAATAAAAAATAAGATATCCGTCTGAAGGGCATCCTTGTTGTTATCCCTATCACCTAGCATTAGTGCTGCATATTGTTCAGTTTGGTTCGATTTTGAAAATTATCGATTTTGCTTATCGGTTATCAATTTGTAGACTATCTAAATGATTAAAGAACCATTAAGTTATCGATTAATTGTTTATCGATTAATCGGTTATCGACCCTTATCGATTCGGTTATCATGTTACCATTAACATATCACGATATTTTTTTAAATAAATATCACATGAAGAACAGATCAAGGCCATTACCAAACAGGCAAACAATGCTCGATCTATTTCTGTCAAAAATTCCTGCAATCCCTACCTTCCATTTTTTTCTTTTACTTGCTAACAGTGTTGAAGGGAAAAGCATGTATACTATATAGCACAAATCCACAAGGCACAAAAAGTACATGATGGGGAAAATGAAGGAAGAAAATGATTCATCACAAAGCCACCAACTATAATACTAACAGATAGTACATGATTCATCACAACTTTTTTTTTACATGAGACAAGTATCTAAAAGATCACATAATGAATTCTCACACTCACAGTTCCTTAGAGTTCACACTAAGGCTTATCAATATGCATTTATGCGCACCCAACTCTCAACACAACACAAACTTTCTACTAGAAAACACTCGACACAACACAACAACAACACCTTTAAGGCTTGGCGACTGGAGACTTACTTGTGAGGCATGAGAACTTGAGCAATGAGCGACTCAGAACCTGAGACTGGAGAGCCGACTGTCAAGTAGTTCTGTGCCGAAGTCGTGAGAAGAATGAGACTCGTAACAACGATGCCTCAGGCAAAAACTTTTCTCTTACAAAAAACAATAATTTTTACTTTGCATTAAATTGGTGGCATCATATTTGAATTCCATTTGCATAATATAATTGTAAGGGCATTTCATACACTTGATATTTTCTAAAAAATAAAGACAATATTCACAACTAATTAATTAACAAGTACATTACAATGCCATTTTCATCAAAGAAACAAACAGAACATGCTCATTATATTATCCATCCAAAAACATAATACTATTTGTTACTATAATCAAGGGAGAAATAGATGGTACATGAGGCTATGAATCTTCTTCAATAACCTTTAGCCCCATCTTTCGTTGAGCACGCTAAAACTACACAAGGGGCTTGAGCAAAAAATTGCGGAGAAAAACATCAAGATATACTTTATTAGTACTCGAATTTTGGGTATTTTCCCTCTTCAACTTGAAGGTGATGTTGTGCATAACAATTTTTCAGAGTAATTGAAGTTTAACAGTCGACTTACAAACCAATATTTTGTTCCTTCGTTTGAAACTTTGAATCATGAAAATAGACACATATGAATCATGATGATAAATGGAATAAATAAAAATATTGCAGGCTTGAGGACTGAGGTGTCATCGTTAGTCGTTACCTTGCGAGTTTCGTCCTCGCCTGAGTGACTAGAGAGAAATCGTCGCCTTGCCGGACGCCTGAGTGTCTGGATTCAAATCGCAACTCGTTGGTTAGTCGTCACCTCACCTGATTTTTTAAGTTGGAGAAACTTTAGAGTTTAAAATTTGGAGAAAGGAGAGGAGTTGATAAGTTTAGATGAAGACAAAGAGTTTTCAAACCTAAATCCCTAATTGAGAAATTAGAAATTAAAGGAAAAAAAGTAGCGGGTCTTATCGGGCTATCGGGTACCCCGAGATTTTTTCTTCCCAACCCGACCCTCGAACAATTAAACCAATAAAAAAATAATAAACCGAACCCTTAACCGATTACCCAATATCCCAACCCGTTAGCCCAATAAATCGAAAATCGGCTCGGATTAATGGTTTGATCCGATTTTTGCATAGGCCTACCTAGCATAAAATGGTCTACCAGTGTTTATTTACATTATAGGTGGTATCAGGAAAATATGTTTGCAATAACCTACTGATTTTTTGAAACTGGATAAGTAAAATTCTTGACATTACGTTTACATTTCAAACCAATAATAACAGCAAACTCACGGATACTACAATTCAACACATTTCATTTGGCATGACTAATGTGAATTTCGTTATCTAAATTTCTTTGCTCAATTTCTAACAAATATAAACATTTTGTAATCTAATCTTGGTAGTTGCATATGGGGATATTTAGGTATGGGGCAAGTATGGTCTCTTTGAATAATTTTATACCTTGATCCTTTATTGATGATACTAAATGTTTAGTATAATTGGTGTTGTAGGTTGGACCAAACTTTAGAGCGTTCTTTGGAATTTGTTTAGTTACATAAATCATATTATGCAATTAAATAAATAATTTTTATCAATCTCTAACAGATATAAACAATTTATATACTATTACCGACATATAATAATGTTTTGCTTTAGTTGTTCACTTTTAGATACATTAATATTGATGAATAGTGATACTAAATAAAACCTACATGCCAGTATGATACTTAAACAATACTATTAGATACATTAATGTTTATCCAATTTGATACTAAATAACAAAAAAAACATAAACATCTATATTAGATACATTAATTAGCATGTGCAACACATAAAAGGTACAGAAATACACAAATTTAATTAGTCGTTATATAAACAAATCAAACTGATACTTAAAAAGGTATTTAAAATAGATTAAAATTCATGTGCAACACATAAAAGTATCACAAAAATCAACGTTCCTTACGTGAAGTCAAAATAGTTAATACTTTCTGAGTTATGTTCACTTATCAATACATTAATGTTCATGAAAATTGATATTAAATAACACCTGCATGCCAATATGATACTTAAATAATAATATTAGATACATTAATATTCGTGAAATCTTATACTAAATAACAACAAAACAACAAACTTAATACTTAAAAAAATATCTATTATACCTTAATATTTATGTGCAAAATCATAAAAGTATCACAAAAATCAGTGTTCCATGAGTGCAATTAAATGTTGAAATAACGATACTTGAATAAAAAAATGAATCATCAAACTAAAGAAAAAGATACGAAAATCAGGATGGATAGGGATACAAATGTGCATATTGTTGTCAGTGTTGGTAGACATAAAAAATTTTCTATATTATTTCTAAAATTGGTAGTGTTCCGAATGAGGCTCGAGGCCCATAATTTTTTTTATTTATTACCACACTATATATTAATCTCCCTCCTAATATTTGAGAAAAAAAAGAGGCGAAAAAGGGCCAACGTTCTTATTATCTTATTTCAAATGAAAACCTCCTTTATTGCGAAAATTTGTTTTACTTTCTTTATATTTGCTATCTAATAGTATCTGTCTACGATTTCAGTGAAAAAATTATCAAAACTTTCAATGTCATGTCATGTCACAAGCTGAATGAACAAAATGGGGTAGATGCAGGCGAACTTGAGGACTACAATGAGAAGATCATGGTATCGAAACACCTAGTTAAGGAGTTCAGGTAGTTCGAATGTCACGATAAGTCGCATTCAGAAAAGATTAGAATAGTGAATAAGAAAAGTGATGAACGTATCAAAGAAATCAAAATTAGTGTCTATATGACAAAAAAGAGGAAAGAGAACTCATCAGTTTGCTTGGAGATTGGATCTCATAAGTTATTAATCTACTTAAATGTTGTCTAAAGATACAATGTTTGAAGACTCAATTTCTAGTTTTTCTTGTAAATCGACTTTATTATTTGCTTGTAATCGTCTTTGTTAAGAATTTTAATTATAATGAACTAAGCCTAACCTGAATTCTCAAGAATGAGATATATATGCAACTTATGTCGACCTCGGTCACCCCTCTTTAACCCTCTTAATTTATTTTCTTTTGTATTTAAACTACGTTCAAACCTAAATTTCAAGAATGAGATATTTAGGCGGCCTATGTTGGCCTCGATCGTTTTCCTTAGTTAATTTTTTTGTTTCTGTAGATTCTCAAGATGGGAACTACGTTTGACCTAATTCCTTCCTCAACGGGGTACGTAGGCTTCACAATGGCTTGTTCATATCTCCCACTCAAAAAATCTCAAGAAAACGATCTTTTCAACAAGTCAAGACTGAAGTTACATTGACAATTGTAAATGGGACAAAATTTTAGAGAAGATCTAAAAGAATTCCATGATTCGTTCATCGATGGCTCAAAATACATGAAGACAGTTAATTGGGACAAAAACTTTTTGAGGTTGACCTCAAAATATTCAGTAAGGTTCATCGAAAGTCTAGAAAACCTTTGAGTACCTCCAACATGATCAGAAGTTTAGAAGTAACTTCAAATGATTCTCATGTACATTGTGAGATCAGAAGTCAACTTCAACAATCATATACATTTTAAGAGAGATCACCCAAACTTCAAGAATCTTCAGAATCTTTTCAATAAGTAATCCAATAGACCTCGACACATTAACCTCAAAGACGTTTATTAAGCTTGATGTAACATGACACTTGCAAGTGACCTTTTTCAAATATTATTTTTTGAAAATATATCTTCTTTTAAAACTTTCCTTCATGTTTCAATTATTTTGCATAAAAATAATTTGTCTTATCTATCAAGAGGCGGGAGATCAGAAAAATCAACCGGAGATAGCAAGACAAGGAGAAGACAAGCAAAGAGATCGACACATGTCGGTTCATTTTTAAACTAACAATATTTTTGTGGATGCAGGTCTATAAGTTTACCTCAAAATTAGCATATTCCTCTATTAAATGAATAGGTAGAAGTCGAAAGAGCAAAACGCTCTCCAAAATTGACAATTTTTCTGTGGATGCAGGAAATATTTTATGTTATGTATATCAAAGATTTGAGGATATGAATAATATTATTTCATTAAATTCCTAACAAGGCAAGGTCCATAATGAACGTGCAACTATGTTCAGAGATGGAACAAATGAAAAATCCAGATGAAAGACATTTTTCCATTAACTAAAGATACCTGAAGGATGTTATTTGCACCATATT